ATCAGGGAATTCTGAAGTTTTACAAGTTAGGAAAGGAATTTGGAGTTTAGGCCCACATGGTGGGAGCCAGGGCAAGCTCCTGAGCAGGAGGACTACCCATACTTTAGAAAGGACAGAGTGAAGCATGTATAGCAAGTGTCATAGCATCATAGCTACCAAGGTAGCATGACAGGTTGCCGGGAACCCCCAGGCAAGAATTGGTATTTCAGAGGCCCAGGGGCAGAAGGGACAGCCAGGGGATGGTACCTGCCATCTGTGTGCTGCCTAGAGAGAACCCCATGTATTCTTTTATTCAATTCATCATCAAAGGATTTGCCAATTTCTGATTCAGGCTCTTTCACTCCAGATCCAGGGAGGTCACAGGAACATGTGTGCGACAATTAAATGAGATGATACGAACTCACCTAAGGTAAGTGGGCTCCATAGGTTACCAGCTGTGGTGCACCCCTGACGTAGGTGGACGGCCCGGAATCATGGAGGACTTCCTGTGGGAACGGGTGTCAGAGCTCACCCCATCTCCTGTGAGTTGGCAGAGGAACAAGGGACAGGGCTGGAACAGGGCATGACCAGCAAGCTTTGCACTTGGCACCGAGCAGCCTCTGCATCCTAAAGGTCTACATTTCACAGATCACCAGCCTCACCCTCTTCTCCAGTCCTTTTGTGGTTTCGCTTTTAATGTTTAACTGTTTGATCCATCTAGACTTAAGAACTCATGCACATACATTTAATATTTTCAGACATGTGCAGAGTAGAGGAGAATGTAACAATGTCCTTGTACAATGTCCTGGTGATACCCAGCTATTACTCCATAAACTCTACAGACACAGAGCTGCCTAATGTTAATTGTATCAAGTAATGTTTTTATTTTTACTCTATTTTTTAAGTAATGTTTTTAAGACAAATTCCATGCTTTCATAAAAAGGGATGTTTTCATTCACACATGCGCTCAGATAAGAAAACTCTGAAGAAAGACTTTAAATTCAATTTGAAGAAAAAGACTCGACATTGTTTTTCCTCTTATTCTGTCATCAGGACACAGTTCCCTCTACTTCTCCGGGCTGGCCCAGAGCCGAGGGCTGGAGTAGGTCCGCCCTGACAGAGGACATGCTCCACAAGGGCTGAGGCTCATGTCCAGTAGCCTGCTGTCCAGCTTGTGCTGGGTTGGGCCAAGAGGTGCTGACCCTGGAAGGAAGGAGCCAGACAGGGGCTCTGGTGGGAGATGAAGGGCCCCAGAAGCTTGCTGTGATTAATGAGCCCAGTGGTTCCCTTCCTTCCTGCTCTAGCTATTAAAGGCCTTTGCAGGAAGGGAGGTACCTCCTCCCCAGCCAGGCTGAACTTGCTGTACAGATACAAGAGGAGCAGAGGGGTTCAACTCCTAGGGGAGAGGGCTGGGGCAGTGGCTCCTCCTAACTGACTGCACAGGCAGGGAAAGGCGTGAAGAGCCCTCTGGTATCTGGTGCCAAATGGTACAGTTAACACACAGAGCAGAGCTCTGAGGATTTAAATTAATAATTGGCTTTCATGCTTACTTGTAAGTCTGCCAAAGGCCTAGACTCCTGGTCTAGAAATGGGCAGCAGACGCCTAGCAAGTGACCCTCGGTGAGTCACTGATCCCTGCTGAGGCCTGGAATGCTGGATGAAATCCGAAAGCCTCCCAGGATAGGACAGTGCCACAGCCAAGGACACCTGGATGCAACCTCAACTAGATAGACTGTCGCCTCGCGCAGGTCACTTCTGGGTGGATTAACTTAATACCTTCCTTGGAGAAGTCCTTGAGTGGTCTCACCCTTCTGGAGTATCCCCTTCCCTTCTTCTGATAACTAAAATAAATATGGGCCACCCAGACAAGGTCTTGGTTTTAGGCCCATGAGAATCTCGAATTGTGTGAGAGGGCTTTCCAGGGCCAGAACCTATCAGTTGTTGATACAGGGTCTCACTACACAGTTTGGACTCAAGAGTAATCCTCCTGTTTTTAGCTGCCCCAGTGCGGGATTACAGGTATGTGCCACCATGCCTGGTTTGGGGTGGGGAAGGGGCCGGCACAGCATGTAGTACCAGAGATTGAACCCAGGTCCTTCAGCTTGCCAGACAGCTGCTTATGCTACCAAGCTATCTCCCCAGCCCGTCAGAAGGCTTTGATCCTCTTGGACCCCTAAAAATCATTCCATTTACCTCTTTTATTTAGCCTTTACTATACCCTCGTTTGGAGATTGCAAACCTGCTTTGACCACAATAACTAAGGAATATTGTTAATCTGACAGGCTGTGAATAGCAACTCCCCTCCCCAATCACATAGGGTACCATGCCACTCTTTACCCACCCCTTGCCTGACTGTTGCCATGGCCTATAGAGAGTGGGTTCCGGCCTTCTCAAAGTCCAGAGGAGCTTATATTTGTAATCCCAGGGAAAAGTTACTGGAATTCCAGTAAGTAAATTCTGATCTACCACTTTCAGTGCAACCTATGGTAAAGAGACAAATACATATTTGCAGTTTTGGGGCAGCCAAGGGGATCCTAAGTCTTGTTGAAGCAATGGCTAACTGGACTAAGCCCCTGGTTTTATTAATTTGTGAAGAGGGGAGTGGCTTGGGGTTGAGTGACTGTGAGAGTGGTGGGACCTGTGTGAATTCCGTGAGCTGGGCTAGGCAGGAGGCAGAATAGCACCTCCGCAATACGCAGGGAGAGAGATGCAGACAAGAGCACGAGATTCTGGTTCTGGTAACAGGTAGCCTCTGAGTTTGGAGGCCGCTGCATGAACACAGTTTGAAGAAGTGTCTTGTGCTTTTGGTCAGTTGCCTTGGCTTTGATGTCTGGCCTTCTTACCCTAGGTCTTCACAGCCTCTTTCTTGAGGCTCATTCCTAGGCAGCTTGGCGTCTCTCAGCCCAGCTCATACTTAGTAGTAGGGAGCTATAAGCGGGTCACCACTGACCTGTGCATTACCTCAAAGGCTCCACATCAGGGCCTCCACTAGACCTGTTTGCACTGCTGAAGGCCAAATGAGGGTGTAGGGGGTCATCCTGGGCAGTTCTGTACATATCTATACATGGAATTAGGGCAAGAATTAGCCAAAGTGGCCTTTTAAGGAGAGCAGTCCCAGTGGTCTTCCACAAGGGCCCCACAGACTGGATGAAGTGATGGCTGGATAGACAGAATGAACCCGAGAGAACCTTGTGATACACTGTCTCTGAGGCAGTAGGCCTTGGTGGATGCTCGGGTAGAGACTCCACCATCGCAGGGCACATGGCCCCACCAAAAGGGCCAGAGGTTTGGGGTGCTCAAGAGACCAAGCCTGCTCTGTGGTACGGAACAAGGCCTAGCCTAAGAGCCCAAGAGCTCTGGGGCCCCTGGCTCTTCTGGTTTTGGCAGTGAGCACGAACCAGCCCATTGCCTCTCTGAGCTCGAATAGGTAACAGCTTCCATTTACCAGGGACTCCCAGCAATGATACGGGGCTTTTCCACATGCACTACCTTTTGGAACCCGTATGTTTCCCCTCAGTAACATCTGGGCCACCAGGAGGACTTCAGCAGAGGTGCAGCCAGCCCCTGAAGAAGATCCCACTGTGTTGCTCATCAAGTGCTTAAGAGACCAGGAATATAGCTCAGCAGTCCTATGCCTACCTGGCAAGTCCAAGGTCCTAAGTTTGATTCCTGGGACCAAAAACAAGGGAAAATAAAAAAGTGCTTGGGCACTGGGTCATATCCTGGGTCCCAGCTGACTTGATGGCTGCACCAACAAGCTGGCCTGTCCCCTCACTGTGATGCTGACCATCATCTCCAGGAATGCCTGGACAGTCAGGTACCAGGGGAGCAAGACCCCAAAGGTTCAGGTACTGCAGGCTTTGGGCTCCAACTGTCCTCCATGGGGTGCAGCCACCCACAGCATCCATGTGTTCCAGGGTCCTCAGTGGGGATGCTGTTGAGGAGTCGCTCTTCCTGCCTCAGCTGTTGTTACTTTCATCTACAACTGAAGCCTCCTTGGCAGAGGTCAAGGGCTCAACTTTAAGGTTAGGCCAGGAAGCTTGCTCAGCACTTAGCTCCTCTCTGGACTTTGGTTCTTTTGGAACAGGGTCACCATAGAGTTCAGGCTGGCCTTGAACTCCCTGCAATCCTCCTGCCTCAGCATCTCGAGTGCTGGGATTACAGGCATGCCCCACCATGTATTGGCTCTTAAGTGGAGCCGCACTAGCAGCAAGTATGTCCTTGTGCTGATCTCGTTTCCCAGTGCTGGGGTGCAGGGGTGCAGGGGTGCAGGGGTGTCAGCCCTTCCCGGAGATGTGGCAGGCATTCCTTCTGAAGATGCACATGACCATGACATTACTTCTCCATCTCTTCCCAGGGTGGGACACACACCCACGCACGCACGCACACACACATTTCTGCAAGCACTAGGCCTTCTTTCTCTCCTTCATAGCATCCAAGGGCACACATATGGACCTCAGGCTTTCTTTTGCTGACTGCCTCTGGGGACAAGGGGACAGATCCCTCCCTGCCACAAGACAAGTGGAGATCGGCAGAGTGAGTTTGGTAGCCCCATCCAGTGGGGTCTACACAGAGGGATCAGGAGAACTCTGGCTCCCCCTCCTCAGTAGGTGGCATCCCTCAGCCAGCACATAAGAGGACAAGATGGCAGATAACACAGACCAAGGGACAGCCTCCAAACCAGGGATAACACTGAGTGCAGAAAGAACACACAGGGTTGCGATCTCAATACTTGAGAATTTGAAAACAGCAAGGGCTGAACCTCAAATCAAGCTCAAAGCCCTCCAGGGCCTCCAGGGAACTTAAGAGGGACACAGGTACACCAAAAGACAAGCACACAACAGCCATCCAGGGACTGGGCTGCACTCCATGGGAACACTCAACTCAAGCATACAGGGCACAAAAAAAATGGCAGTTACATTTAAAAAAAAATTAAGTTTATAAATATTTTCTCCACTGTACAAAGTTTTCCCAGCCCTGCCCACCCCCATCACTATTCACATTTATCATGTTTTTAAAATCCCAATTATATTTATTTTTTAAATCATAAAATATATTTTTTCTTTGTTCATATTTAAAAATATTTACAGGGGCGCAGAGAGGCCGGGGTGGGCCGGCCAAGGTCAGGATGAGTCCGTGCAGGGGGACGGCGGGGGTGGGAAGAGGTGGCAGTAGCTCCGTTCAGTGACAGGCGAGGGCGGGCAGCTGTCTTCTGCTGACAGGTACTGGCTGTGGGGGGTGGGTGGGGGTGGGTATGGGTCTGAGTCTGAGTTCAAATCCAGATAGTATTTGCTGGCCTTCCAGCGGTTGGCGCTGTAGTCACTGTCGCACACATCTGTGCTGCAGGGTGTCGTCGGCGGTGCCATGCCTCGAATGATATAGGGCCTGAAGAGGACAGATAAAGATGAGGAGGCACTTGTACACATCTGCCCCAGCATGCACTGGGGCTCTGCAGTGGCCTGTCCATCAGCGAGCTCTGGAGGAGGCAGGCCTGACTCAGCACTCAGCCCAGCTGAGTAGTGCTGAGCCTCAACATCCCCAGACTGAGAGGTGGACCTGCACCTGCGTGGTGAGCTTGAGGCCCTACAAAAATCGGAGCCTCAGGATGCAGGAGAACAGGGCTAGCCCTGGGCAGTGACTGATTACTTAAACTCTCTGAGCTTGTTTCTCACTGATAAGTGAGGATGAAACAGCCCCATGAGGGGCTTGACTTGTGAGGAGTAAATGAGTTTCTGCCTGGAAGGTGCTGGAAGCAGTATGTGGCCACAATATTATTTCTGCTGGAGATCATAGGCCTCAAATGGTTCCACTTTGGACTCCAGCAGCTAGGCCCTGGGCGGTATCTTCTAGCCTCCTGGAGGCTCTCTGCATCTAGTTACAGCCCAGAAAGCCAGTAACGCACTGTGTGACCCGAGGTGGGAGTGGGGGTTCATTGTATTTCAGAGCCCCGTCCCACCCTGGCAAGGATGCACGATGTGGGGGGAAGGCAGAGCTGGCAGGTAGGCCCAAGACACACCCAGGTAGGTAGCCGGAAGACAGAGTGAGCATGAACAAGGGCACAGGTATGACAGGAGACTGGCCTGCCTGGCACAATGTGACAACTCTGGGGACAGGGCAGGCAGGGCTACCACGATGGAGACAGCTTGAGAAGAGCGACGGAGGGTGGCTGTGCTGCTACAGCACGAGGGAGCCGCTGCAAGTCCTTGAGCAGGGAGGGGACCCTGGAAACGGAGGTGGGTCTGTGCCTAAGGCCTCAGATCCCAGCTCCAGCACTCAGACTAGGAGATTGTTTTCTAATCCAGGAGTTCCCCAAACTGCCACTAGATGGCAGGCAGCACCATCTCAGAAGGTCTTGCTATTCTAGGGACTCAAGGTTAAGGGTGCCAGAGCACTGGCCTGGGTTCACTCCACCCACCCTGTCCAGTGAGTGCTCTCTGGGGGTGAGATGGGGTAAAGGGTTAAAGGTCAGGGGGCCCATCCTGCCCATAGACCACCATGCCTCTGGACCTGCTTCTCCTTGGCATTCTTTAAAAAAAAAATTTAATGTATTTAGTACAGGGTCTACCGAGTCTCACTACACAGCTCAGACTCATGGTGATCCTCCTGTTTTTAGCCTCCCAAGCGCTGGGATTACAGGCACTCACCACCAAGCCCAGTCTCAATTCCCATCTCAGCACACCCCAGGGGAGGAGCCAGCAAGGCACGCCAGGGATCGAACCTCGGTCCTTGTGTCTGCCTAAGCAGGTGCTTTAATCTGCTTGTTTGCTGAGGTATCTGGCTGGCCCTTACTTGGCATTCTCATAGGGATCCTCCTCTGATGGGACAGTGTCTGTAACCCTGATATAAGCAACTTGAAGGCTGGGGTCAGGCTAAGCAGGCCTTGGGGTTCCTGGGCTCAAACAGGCCAAGGCCACAACAAGCAAGAAGCAAGGATCTTACTTCTATAAAAGGTCCATCCATCATGGCCAGGCAAAAAGCTACTGGGCTCTGGCCTGTCCTGTGAAGGGACAGAGGGAGGGGTGGGAATACCTCTGATGACATACTTCAAGGCCTGCAGCTCTAGGGCACCGTCCCAGCTTACAGAGTTCCCCAGAGCTACCCAAGGAAGCCCTTCAGAATATGGGGTTCACTTGGCTTGTGAACACAAGACACTGGCCTCATGGGCCTCACATAGGAGGTGACCCAGGAAGGCAAGGGAAGGGCTGGACCGGAGCTGATAGCATAAGGACAAGACCCCCTCCCCAGCACAGAAGGGCTAGGCGGCTCCTACCTGTATGACCTGGTGGCGGCTGGAATGTTTGAAGAGTAGAACATGTCCATGTTGTACAGGGAGGGGTCTGTGGCTGGGGATGGCGGCGGGTTCAGAATCTGCAGAGAGCCGGGCAGAGTCATTCCAGCCTCCCAGGGCCATGCAGCTCCACCCACCCACCTGCCCCAAGTATTACCTGCAGGGAGGTGGTTCTGTCCATACCCCTCCTCCCCCATCCTGGCCTGAGTTGATGAGATTCTTTTATTTTGAGACAGGGCTTCATTAAATCACTAAGCTGCTTAGGCTGGGTTAAATTTGTAATTTTCCTACCTCAGCTTCTTAGAATCCTGAGATTATAGGTGCGCACCACCACATGCAGCTAAGAAACTGATTTTTATGTTCAACGTAGAGAAGGCCTTTCTGAACATGACCCAAAAACTGGATACCATAAAAGCAAAGATGAATCATTTCATTGTATAAATGGCAAAAATACTAGAACCCAAAGGAAAAGACAAAAAACTGGGAAACAAATATTTTCAACATATATCCCAGTAATGGGCTAATTTCCTTAAAATGTCTTCATTTACCTATCAACACATATGAACAAACTTTGAAAGCACTGTGAGCAACACATTATCAAAAGGAGATGAACAAATCCTGCTAAGAAAATAAAACTGGGGCCAGGGAGATGGCTCAGTAGAATAAGAGCTTCTCTGGCAAGCACAAAGCCCTGAGTTCAATCTCTGGTTCCGAAAAAAAAAAAAAATTTCAACATAATTTCATTTTTCCCCTAGGTTACTTGAAGTTTGACAGGGAAAGACTTGTTGGTGTGCCCCCTACTGGCAGGAAGAGGAAGTGCCCCCCTATGGAGGCTACTGCGCTAACACAAAGGGGCCCATGGCCCATGAGGGGACCTGCGGGGATCCAAGCACTCAGAATGGGGTCATCCTGCCCGTGACACAGAAAAAGGAGGGTGGCACAATAGGCGAGGCAGAGCCGGGAGTACTGGGACAGGCTGGCTCTCCCCCCTGCAAGGAATGACACAGAGTAGAGGTTCCACAGAGCTCCTAGGCTCCTTGTGAGGAATGAGGGTCAGGACCTTCATACGTGCAGGTGTGATGGGGGCTGCGCAAGCACTCAGAAGAGGCTGCTACTAGCAACAGGCTGGGCTGATTTAAAATAAATGGCTGCATACAGAGCTTCTTTGGTGAGGGGTGGAAATGTTCTAAAATCAACCATGAAGCTGGGTGTGTGGCATGTCTAATTCCAGCACTTGGGAGGCTGAGGCAGAAAGATTATTGAAAGTTTGAGGCCAGCTTTAGATATATAGTGAGTTCAAGGCCAGTTTGACCTGGGTAGCAAAACCCCATTTCAAAACAAAACAAAAGTCAACTCTGGTTGTATACATCTGTGAATATGCTAAAATCCACTTTGAGCGAACTGTATGGCCAAACAACGAAGTACTTAAACAGCTGGCTGGTCAGTGCCAGGCCTTTCTGCTGAGCAAGGAGCCAGCTCTCAGCCAAGCCTAGGGAGGGCGAAAGTGATTTCTGGAGTTCCTTATGCATCCGCTGGCAGTGACGGGGCACACGGAGCCCTGGTACCCCAGATGGTTCCGGGGCACAGCGCGGCGTAGCAGCAGGCACACAGGTGCAATGGGGTAGTCTCAACTCTAGGCTTCTGGCTCTGGGTTTCTTTGCCCCTAAAAGCATAAGCCCTGGAGCTTCCAGTTCCTGCCTGCAGCCCAGAGATAAGGCCCTCTTCCGTCCCCTCCCTTAGGGCCGGCCAGCAGCAATGGGAGGAGCCAACAGGCAAAGGGAGGTGAGAAGGGCAGCCCTGGGGAGGTGGGGCTTCTGGGCGGGGGCCCAGGAGCTCTCAGCCAGAGCTGTTCTCACCTTAGAAGAACATCAGGCTGCAGGAAGATTTGGACTTGGGAAAAATAAAGGGCTTACAGTGTGTTCAAAGTCTGACCCCAGTGTTTAAACACAAAGGCCCCCCGGGCTGTGGTTTTGCTTTCTGTGGATTTAGCTACCTGTGGTTAACCACAGTCTAAAAATATTAGTATTTGTCTTGACTCTCTTAAGAGACAGAGAGACCACATTCACACAAGTTATTACAGCACATCGCTGTAATTGTTCTGGTTTATCATTAGTCACTGCTAATTTCTTATTGCGCCTAATGTTAAACTAACTTTATCACACAGGTCCATGTGCATAGGAAAAACACGCTGTGTGTGGGTTTGGTATTCCCCGTGGGTTCAGGCACACACTGGGTGACCATGGTTAGGGAGGACTACGGTACACACAGCTCCACATGTGCAGCAAGCCTACTTGGGCTGTGCTCTCAGAAATGGAGTTCTCCCAGCCAGCCCCAGGAAGGAGGTTATTAATGCTTCACTCTAAAATCACTTTTCTGTAGACCAGTTCCTCACTGACTTGGGGGGCTGAAAGTTCCAGGGAGTGTTTTAGCCAAAAAATTCACTGTATCTATCCTTGAGGAAGTAACTGCCCATCTCTGGGAACTGGCAAGGCCCAGAATGGAAACGCAGGGAGATCCTGGTGGGGAGGACCAAAGGAAGCTCGCAGACTACAGCCCCAGCAGGGCCGCATGGAGGGCTCAGGCCCTGCAAAGAAAAGCCAGGGTGCAGAGCAAAACCACCACCTGGATAACCCTTGGCGAAGTGGGTATAAGCCTTCAGTTCTGTGTATTACTAGATGGTTTCCAGACTGTCCAAAACAAAAAAGGGTTTCCTTTTTCCTCATTTTTATTTATTTAGTTATTTAGTTATTTAGTTAGTTAGTTAGTGTGTGTATGGCCAGCTCAGCCCACCAGGGGGGTGGGGCGGGCTGGCATGTGGTGCTGGGGGATTGAACCGTGGTCCCTGTGCTTTGCTTAGCTTAGCTTGTTCTAAGTAGGTGCTTTAGATCACTGAGCCATCTCACCAGCCCCCTACCTCATTTTTTGAGAGAGGGTCTTGCTATGCAGTTCAGGCTAGGCTTGAACTCAATATGTAGTTAAGGCTAGCCTCAAACTCTCTGAGATCCTCCTGCCTCAGCCTCCTGAGTACTAAGATGACAAGTATACACCACCACACCCACTCAAACAAGGGTTTTCTAAACCAAGCAACACCATTAAAGAAAAAACCAAAAGGGGGCTGGAGAGATGGCTCAGTGGTCTAAAGCACCTACTTGAAACAAGCTTGGCAAAGCACAGGGACCGCGGTTCAATCCCCCAGCACCACATGCCAGCCAGCCTCGCCCCCTGGTGGGCTGAGCTGGCCACACACACACACACACACACACACACAAATAAATAAATGTAATAAAAATAAATAAATATTAAAAAAAAAGAAAAAGAAAAACCAAAAGGTTGCACACAGGGAAACAACACCTCACTATTCCTTTCTGTGGTAGACTAGGTCTAGAAATTCTAAGGTCCCAGGAAGGCTCCCCAGCCAGCACTGATGCAGAGGCCAGAGCGAGTCCCACCACCCCACTCACCGGTGGGTACAGCGTGGCTTTTGTGCTGGACGAACTGCTAGATGAGGCCCCAGTGACGTGGTTCCGGTCATACAAGGGCACACCACTCCGGCCCCCCATCAAGCTCACAGAGCTCATCATGGACTTGCTGCAGGAGATGCCTTTCCAGGAGAGGGAACAAGGTGGGTCAGACACAGCCCTGGCTCTGCTCCTACTCCCCGAGAGATTTGTACTGGGTGGTAAGTCCTATCTGATACATGTCCCTGTGTTACGGTTTGTGTCTAGATGTCCCCCCCGAAGCTCATGCAGTCATGAGGGGGCACTTTTCAGAGGCAGCTGAACCTAGAGTTTGTGACTGACTCATTTTCTAGTGCTAGGAGTAAGGGTGTGAGTTCTACACCCACCCTAGGGTGGGTAGCACAATACAAACAATACAATATAAAGGACAGAAAGCATCTTCTCTCACATTCCTTCCACTTTGCTCTTGTCACTTTTGTCTTCCACTGCCATGAACTGTCGCCCCTATGCCACTTTGCCTTGGAGTCAACTGATTATGGACTGAAACTTCTGCGAACCGTGAGCTAAATATATCTTTCCTTACTTAATAGAGAGCATCAGGTATTTTGTCTCAGCAATGACAGAAAAGTATCCAGGACACCCTGCTTGCTGCAGGCCACCAGTTCAGGCTTTCCAAGTCTCCGCTATGAGACAGGGAGACAGACAGCACCTCCCCACAAGGGGAACATGGGCCTTCAGGAAGCATCCTGGTAGGGGCTCTGCTCAGAGAATGCCAGGCACAGACGTGGGCCCATTCTCTTCTCTGGAGGCTGTATGACAGTGATGCTGCCACCAACATGAGCTTCCAGAAGCTCTTGAGAAACCCCTCACCCATCCCCCCTACCCCAGCGTTGTGGTGGGGGTGCACTGGGTGGAACAGGACAAGAGAGGGAACCCGGGGATGGGCAGGTCCAGAGCATCAGCCACTATGGCCCTGGAGCTCAGGCAAACTTTCCACCGTCACAGGGACACCACAGGACACACCACCCACTGACCCCACCTCCTTGAACACACATATGACCTGGCAGGACTCAGCCTTGTGGTATGTCCCTCTGGGCGTCTGGGCACATAACCTACACTCCTGGTGAGGAGGCAGCTTGTAAGTATAACTGCTCCACCACAGTCCACACTACATTCCAGACAAAACTGCTTGTCACATGGAGCAGCTCCTTCGGTGCTAGAGAGTGCCCAGCTGCACCTGGTTTCCATTTCTAGGGGATATATGTTTTTGAGGACAAATCAGGGAACATCCCACAAGAATGCTGAAGGCCAAGTCCACAGAGTTTTCCCTATACTTCCAAAGCCAAAGGACAGGCTGTAGCACGCAGGCTCTGTGCTAAGATGCAGATGCCAAGCAGGGGCTTGCAGGAAGGCCTGAGTGCAGTGACTGATCTGCGATGTCTGTCACATAGCCCAGGGGGGCATCAGAGCTGCATCCCTCTCCCACACACACTGCCTAGCCAAGGCACCCGTCTCTGCCCAAGCCTGTGCACACTTACCTGGGAAAGGACCATGCTGTGAGCCACCTGGGGCTATGAAATTGAGGGGCACGTGGGGGGTCCCGCTGACATACTCGTGTGGGAAGGGTCCATTGGCCCCCACGTAGCGCTGGCACACCACACGCTGGCAGACGAAATAGACCCCGCCCATGACAAAGAGTGAGAGGATGATCCCGATGACAGGCCCGATGGCGCTGCTGTGGGCCGGGGTGTCATCAGAGGGTGGCTTGGTAATTTCTGCCAGACGACAGGGAGAGAGATGGCCACGTCAGCCTCCAAGGGATGGTCCCTCCTGTGAGGCATGGGAAGGGACTGGCTCCGCCCTAGCCTTAGCATCCATGGGAATAGGTGGGAGAAAAGAGGGGGAGGGCCTGGGGAAGGCATTCAAACAGGACCTTTGCCCACTGATCCTTGACCCGCTCTACAATGCCCACCTTCCCTCCTTCGCCTGGCTGCCCCTGCCTCCTTCCTGAGGGTCTGTGAACACACTCACACACTGTTATGGCTTGTGTTTGATGCCTCCCCCCCCAAGCCTTACATGGTTGTAGGTAGATTATAGGGCTTCTTCAGCAGTGGCTCAATCTAGTGTATACAATGTTGGGATTACGGGTATGTGCTTAGTGAATCAGTTCACTGATTAATTTGGGACCACCCTAATCCTGATAGTCTAGGTAAGATAAAGGAGCAGGGGCTGGGGAGATAGCTAAGGCTGAACAGAGCCTGCCTGGCAAGCACAGGGGCCTGAGTTCCATTTCTGGTATCAAAAAAGAAAACAGAAAAAAAAAAAAAAAAAAAAAAGAGACCAAAAGATAAAGGAACCAAAAGACAAGACACTGTGAAGGTCTCTTTGCGCTATCTTCTGCTGCCATGAATTCTGTTGCCTTTCTGCCACCTTACCTTGAAAGCAGCCCATCATGGACTTGAAACCTTGAGCTAAATAAACTTTTTTCCCCTTTAACTTTGGATGTTGGGTATTTTGTCCCAGCAATGAGAGAAAAGTAACTAAGACACACATCTTTGTCAGGGGCCCTCACTGGTGGCCAGAAATGAGTGCCCCAGATAGCCTAGGTGTCAAGTATGTGACAGAGGTCAGTCAAGAGGCCCCTGAAGCAGGGTGTGCAGAGCTGCCACTGGGCTGCAGGTGTGGGACAGGGGACTGCCTGGCGGGCACTTGGCCAGTCCACCACTGAGGCCTCGAGAGCACAAAAAGCATGTGCAGAGTCCAGGATCAACTAACTGGCTGATCATGTTCACCTTGCCACTGACTGGCCCAGTGACCCTGTGGACATCTGCGTGGTCCCTCCCAGAAGACTCAACCTGGAGGGATGGGAAAGGGACTGCTGGCTCTGGGGACACACATCAGCTGACACAACGGAGCCCACAGTCCCACTAGAGGCCTGAGCATAGATTCCTACCCCATCTCTGGACTGGAAAGCTGCCAAATGGAAGAGCAGGGGACTCTGGTAGGCCCTGGCTCTGCCATCCCTCCCAGGCCATGCTCAGAGACAGCACACAAGGTGCCTGATCTGGGCTGGTAAGGAGCCCCAAGCGTCCATGAACTCCACGGGGAAATCTGTACCCTTCCCCAATGCTTCTCCCGCTCCTGCCTCAGTGATCTCCCAGGTCCCCTGAAGTAGATAGAGCAGCCACGTTCCCAGACACGTCCATAGATTCCTACCTCCTATCCAGCTCCCATCCTGCCTGAGACGTTTCAGAGCTTCCTTCCCTGACTGCCCTGGCCACCTGTCTTCTAATCCCTGTACCCTTCACTGCACAGGTCAGGCCATTCAAGGGGTAGAGATGAAGTAAGTATATGAGACATGTGTGCTATGCATGTGTGTGTACGTGTGTGCGTGTGTGACACATGCGCACATTGCTCCTCCTCAGACTGTGGGGTGCAACCTGCCCCAGGACAGATGCTACAAAGTGAGCTCCCCATGGCGGAAGCCTGGCTGATGGGCAGCCCCCTGCCCCCTACAAGGCAGGTCCCCACCTAAGCAGACTCTACAGTGGGTTCCTATATGCCCACTGTCCCCAGTTACTGCCTCTTGAAGGCCAAGTGCACCCAGCAGTCCAGGCGTGCCCAGAGCACATGTCCTCCCTCAAGACTCCACACTGTTGGGGGAGGAAACCTGTGTGGGGCAACCCCATCCCTGCGAGAAGCTGGCTCACCACACATGAGCTCATCGGAGCCGTCCATGCAGTCAGGGAAGGAGTCACACTGCTGTTTGATGAGGACACACTGGCCACTGGCACACCGGAACTGGTTGGGCAGGCAGACAGCTGTGAGGGAGGGGCCACAAGTTCAGGGAGGCCAGAGGGCCACCAGCTCTTCTGGCCCCACCCTGCCCCAAGGCCCAGTCACAAACAGCCAACAGACAGACTCCTTTCTAGGACAGGACCAAAGCAGTCATGACAAACCCTATCTCTACCATCCCATGACCCTCTCTGTCCCAAGTTCTGGGCAATGCCAGTGTGGGGACCAACAGAGAGGAGACCACAAAGGCCCACCTGCCCCACAAGGCATCTGTTGGACATTACCCTGGGTCCGGCATGCACAGAGCAAAGAAGACAACCCTTGACCTCAGGTCTTGCCAGGCTCCTGGGGAAGTAGTAGGGTGAGGTCCTCTAGGAAGGGCCTCACCTCCCTAGTGTACAGAGGGTGGGGTGCACAGTGGCAGGCGGGGGCGCAAGCACAGCCCTGAGAAGGCAGAAGCAGCCATGCAGGGAGCTATGCAGCCTGGCCCCACTCCTGGGAGGAGGAGAGTGAGCAGGATGGGCACTGACAGCCGCCTCCTTCACTGCACCCAGACGCCAGCAGGCAGGGGCCATGGCACCACCGCAAAGGCAGCGCTAGAACTCGAGCATCAGCCGGCACTGCAAGCCTCTCTGACGCCCCACCCGTCCTGCTCCAGGTGCCTCCTCTGAGAACAGGAGACCAGGGCCCAGTCCCCTCATGGGAAGGGTGGCTTGCTGGTGACTGAGCGGGGAGAAACACTGAGACTGAGCTTGCAGGAGGCCTATCATTGTGGCCACATCCCACACAAGGAAGAACATGGTATGGTGACGAGAGGTGGCTTCTAAGAGCTCCTGTGATCCTGACATCCTGGCCAAAAGCTGCTGCTGGGCCAGGGTTCCTGGGCAGACCCTCCCATAAAGGGCCTGGTAGTGAATTCTTGGGCTCTGTAGCCAACTACTCAGCTCTCCTGTTTTAGCATGACAGCAGCCAATATGTAAATGAGCGAGTGGGCTTGGCTGATGCCAATGAAGCTTTATTTACAGAAATAAGCAGCAGGCTAGATCTGGCCTGTGGTCCATAGCCTCTCCCAAATTCTCAGAGGGTTGGTGAGCTGCAAAGACTTAATTGCAGCTCTACAGATCACTCCCAGGCCCTGACTTATACATCTGCTTACCACAAAAGGTGGTGGAGGACAATAACCAGAGAGCACCTGAGTTAGGTAAGAACAGGACCTCGTGGTTTTTGGAGAGGCAGTAAGGGGGACCACAGTTCCGTGGGCGGTTCTGGGACCATGATGCTGACATGTGGGTTCTCAATCAAAGGGGGATTCATAGCAAGTACAGAAGAGTACAATTTTCAAGATCTCTAAGACGACCCTGCTGGTGAAAGCGGGTCTGGGTAGTAAGCATTATTTCAGGCTGCTCAGTGGAATATGGCACCGCTGTTTAGGATGGGGGTTTACCAGAGTGTGAGTCACAGAAAGCCGACTATGGGATTCAGCTGGGTCCTCTGCCAAATTCCTGACTGAATGCAGGGAGGGGAGGCACACCGAGTCTGCCTTCAAGTCCGATGCCCAGTGAACAGATGCGGCCAGACGGCAGCAGTCCTTGTTGAGCCTAAAGCTGACCTTGCCTTCCCTCCCAGGCTGTGGAAGACCTGGCTTCTCCCTCCAAGTGGAGATTTTGTGGAGCTTCTATTGGAGCTTCTATTCAGTGGGGGCTGGATGGACCCCTAAACTCCCCATCCAGGAAGACAGGGCAAGTGGCCTTGGCACAGCCTGGGTGTGGCAGCCACTTAGGTAGGTGGCAGGCTGCCAAGGTGGGCCTTACCATCACAGTCAGCCTCATCAGAGCGATCCTGGCAGTCAGCCTCGCCGTCGCAGCGCAGACGCAGGTCCACACACTGGCCGCGCGCACACGGGAACTGGGCTGCCGAGCACACCGGGCAGCCCTCCTCATCACTCTGGTCATCACACTCAGGGAAGCCGTCACAGCGCCAGGCCCCAGGGATGCAGTCGATCTCACCAGTGGCACACGCAAACTGGTCAGGGGAGCAGGTGGGAGGCTCTGGGGGCAGAACACAGAACACAGTCACACAGCACTGCCTGTTAACCCCAGCTAGGGTACGACTGGGCTGCCAAGCAGAAGGCAGGCTCCCGTGGGCACCAGCTCTCCAGTCCCTGGGATGCCAGGCTGTGCACCCACACAGCTGCCAGCACTGTGTCTCCTGCTCACTGTGCACCTCCAGCCCAAGAAGAGCCATGGCAGTGGTGAGAACACAGGATACTGTGCCAAGATACAGATCCTTGCTATTAGAAACCTGGGATTCCAGCAGCCATGACATCCGACACTGCAGGTGCAAAACTCAGCCCTGACTGCTGAGGAAATGGACCAGCCACTCCTCCATCCTGGTCCCCCTGCAGGCACCAAGAGGGTCCTGGTCCCAGTGCTTACTGTCCAAGACACCACTGGCTTCCCAGTACCAGGCCAGGCTATGGACCCGCCAGTCTGGGTACACCTGGGTAACTACTGTACGGCAGAAGGTGGAGAGACAGAACTCACCACTAGAGTGAACTTTAGCATTTTATGTTGCTGCTATGTCCATCTGAACAGGACCTGAACTTTGTCACACCAGGAATGAGGCATGATGTGGGTCAATGGGGCCACCACATGGGCTGCATATAACAGGGACATCATGCCCAGAGCGTGGTGGGTGCTGACAGAGAACTTGCTCACGACACCCCACTGAAGAGTGTCTAAGGACAGGCAGAGAAGAAAGCCTAGGAAAAAAAGGAGGAGGGAGGGACTGTGGAGATGACTCAGTGGAATAAGTGCTTTCCTGGCAAGCGCAAGGGTCTGAGTTCAATCCCAGGTTCCTCAAAAAAAAAAAAAAAAGTGGGGGGGAGCCGAGATAGCTCAGCGTTTGCTTAACCGAGCTTAGGCAAGCCCAGGGCCTGTGGTGCGATCCCTGGCGCCAGGACAGGCTGAGCCTGCCAGAGTCTGGACATAGTGGCACACACCTGTAATCCCAGCAATGGGGAGGCTGAAAAACAGGAAGATCACTATAAGTCTGAGCTGTGTAGTGAGACCCTGTAACAACCAAATATATTAAGAAAAAGAAAAAGAAAACCTAGGACACTCACAGGGGAGGGGCACAGGAACATCCTGCCAGAGGTCACTGAGGCTGGTGCTGGGGAGGACCAAGGGCTACTTCCTCCTGGCGGCTGCTGCTCCAGCCAGGGAGATCACTCAGTGGCATAAGATCCTGCCCAGCAAGCACAAGGCCCTGCCTCTGGTGCCCGGCACCCCTCCAAGAAAAGGTGCTCTTGCCCCAGGACTCACCACTAGAGTGCACTCTTATCATTTTATGCTGCTGCCACGTCCATCTGAATAGGACCTGAACTTTGTCACACCAGGAATGGAGCTTCATTTGGTTCCATGTGGGGCCTCACTTTGTTTGTCACTATCAGCAACCAAGATGTCCCTCTCAGACACTTATATACAGCCTGTGTGGCTGGTCCCATCGACCCCATATCCCCATAAGTGCAGATAGGCAACTGTGATCCTCTCTCCTTCAGTGGGACCTCCTGAGACCTGTGCCACCTGCATACCAATTAGATTCAAGGGAAACCTGTGTATTTATTTTTTTTGGGGGGGGGCAGAACCAGGGATTGAACTCAGGCCCTTGTGCTTGCCAGGGAAGCACTTATTCCACTGAGCCATCTCCCTGGCCCTGGGAAACCTGTTTAGATAATGCCCTAGACTCAAGAAAGCCATTTGTCCACAAGTTGTCTGTCTGTCTGTCTTCTCTTGTGCTCCTGACCTCTGTGTGGTCCCCTCCTCAGGATGTATAAGTATTTGTTTCCTCCCCCCGACCCAATTGCTTTCTTTTTGTGGTGCTGGGATGGAACCCAGAGCCTTGCACAAAGTAGACAGGCGTTCTACCACTGAGCAGCACCCCTAGCCCTTTCTTTCCATCTATGTCTCTCCTAAGTGTTGGGGGATACTCTCCCGCTTTACTAACCTAAATAAAAACAACTTCCTCAGCTCAGACCAAGTGCAAGTTGGAGCTGGGCACAAAGTAAATGGCACTGAGCACAGTGCCAGGGCACAGTAGCAGAGCACCAGTAGAGTGTGCCCCCAGTCTTCAGGATTCCCTTCTTCTGTATGGAAAACAACAGAAAACTAGCTGAGACCATCCTAGGGGAAGGTAATGCGGGGAGAGTTTGAGTGTTACTTTCATGTTGAACAACAGTC